TCTGCCTCACGGACTAAAACTGGTAGTTGGTTCCACAGGAGAGGAGACTGATAACTAAAAGATCTGCCTCCCATTCTACTTTTAGAAATTATAGGATTTGGTTCCATTCAATTTTATTTTGTGTTGCTGATTCAGAGCAAATGTCAACTCTTCACAAACAGATTCAATTCATGCATAGACATGAACAAAGTTGTGGAGCATTTTCTTGGCCTAGTGGCTGACCGTTCTAAGCAGCAGGTGAGGGAGGGGCAATAAGGTGCAGTAAACCGACTTAAAACGAAGGAGAATGTCATTGCTTTAAAAAAAATGTGCTGGTGTTTTTTTAGTTAGCTCCAAGTGTTTCCTTTTTCTAATTTTGTTTTCATTTCCTGTTTTTCTTTAGTTTAATAACTCAAACACTGGATTATTCACAATCCACACTGGGAGAGATGACATCACAAAGGTCCACAAAGTTGATTCCTGGAATGGATTAACTGAGGTAAGCTATAAAAAAAAAGTAACCTTAAAATGTATTTTTTTGTTTTACTAATTATCTTCTTGTCCTACCTACATGGATTCTCTCCGTCCCATTAGCTGAAATACTGGAAGACGCCTCAGTGTAACATGATCAACGGGACAGCCGGGCAGCTGTGGCCACCTTTCATGACTAAAGAGAGCACTTTAAATTTCTACAGCCCGGACGCCTGCAGGTACAAATACTTTCTCCACATCTGCCTCAAATCTTCTGCTGACTTCCTGTATAATTTCCTGTATTATAATTTATTGTTTTTTTTTTTTAGATCTTTGGAGCTTGTTTATCAGCGGTCTGGGGAGATGCAAGGCATCCCTCTATATCGATTTGTTGCACCTAACACCATGTTTGCTAACGGGACAGATTACCCTCCAAATGAAGGCTTCTGCCCCTGCAGGCAGTCTGGCTTGCTAAATGTCAGCAGCTGCCGCCACAGTAAGAACATACCATTGCATTAGAAAGCTCATTTATTCATGTTGTCTTTACATTTTCAATTTCCAGATGTTTTGATTTGATTCACTTTTTGTTTTCTTTTAATTACAGGAAAGGATAGTCTGATGACAAGTTAATGTTTTAGGCAAATTCATGTAGAGACAAAAAAAGGATCCGGACTCCGGTCAATTATTTACTCCGTTTCATGCCGACAAGGAAGCAGAATGAACTTTATGTAGTTCTGTTTGTAACATTAAACCCTGGATAAACTCTTTATCGCCTAAATGGCGGCCATTTAGCCGTGCTGCATGACGCAGCAGAGCAACTTCTCTGGTGTGTTCGGAAAGCAAAGATGTGTTGATAGAAACATGGAGGGCTTTACCCAAAATGTTTCCAACATACATGATAGAAAATATGCTAGCAGTTAGCACAGTAGATTAAAGTTATAGAGAAGCTGCCGTTCCAATCGTTGTATTTCCGAATTCTCCCATGTGGTGCACGACTTTACATGAGGGAATAAAGTGAATGTGATTGGTTGATTATCAAGGGGGCGGGATTGTTATGGCGGAAGGTTTACAAGCAAGTTTGGTTGTGGCCGGTTTGTGGGAAGCATCTTGCTAACCAGTTAGCAACTTAGTGCTAGTAGGTTCCCAATGGGAAATTCCACTGTGTCCAAGTAGCACTAAATTGGTGACTTAGAAACGACACTGTCTAGAAACGCTATGGACAGCGGAAACATAGCCTCGTGAGACCATCCTGATCTCGCGAGCTTTCAAGGTTTCACTCACAGATCAGTCTGGAGACTCTCGGTTAAAGAAAATTTGGAGCCGTGCACCAAACGAACGTCCAATCAGCGTTGGCATTGAGGCAGGTTGAGGTTTGA